AATTTGAGTACTTACAAGAAATTTCTCAACTAAATATACATTCCATACAAATTAAGCTCAAAAATCACATCAATACAAAATTGTTTAATTTAATTCCAGATTTAAAATTTCCTTAATCTCCGGCAATCATGAAATAATTTAAGGTTTATTTCATGTGGCTGTACGTATAACTTATAAGCATGCATGCACTGCTAGTCAAAGAACTGACACAATTTTTGCAATATAATTAGTATTTGTTAATTACTAAGATTGACATTCAATGAACACCACTAATTACATTCACCGTATACAAAATGCACACAATTTTAATAAATTAAATAAAATAAATAAAAAATCTGATTGATAATGAAATTACACGTGACACGTATCCAAGGAAACTATGAGTCAATTGACAAAGGATAATAATAATGATTAAAATATCCTTAGCTAATATAATTAATATTATTGCGACGGCGACCAGATGCTACACTCAGTGAAATACAATGGGCAATTCTGCATCGTTGATTTATACAAATAACTTTCCACTGATCGTACATACACATGTTTATTTGTGTTATTATGTGTAGAACTATTTTATGCAATTTATTATCTACTAAAAATTATAAAACATGCAACGTGGCATCCTCTCAAATATCAATACCAAAAATTGCATGTATTAAAAATTCGAAAGCATAAACTCAGAGAATAAAGCCATTTTTTTATATGGCCGTATTGTTACTAATTGTTCGTGCAGTCTGACAGCTAAAAAGATTTTAATAAAAAACTATGGAATATACATTAATAATATGAATAACGACGGAAGCACATCTTAAATAATTAAAAGTTATAAATTATATTAATTTAATCATTTAAGTTTAAATAAGTGTTGACGATAAAATTCCTTGTGCATGCATTTCATAAAAGTACTAAGAAACAGTGACGGAGAAAGTATAGAGCCAGAGGAGGTAATGGCCCCCCACCCAAACAATTCTCGAATTTCTATGTTTTATGTAAAGATTAAAACAAATTCGCGTATAATTATGAAATTTTGACCACATGGTAAAAAGGTGAAAAGGCAGTAAAATTGAAAATGGGCCGGGCCGGGCCGGTGAATAGACGAGGCCCAGTGGGGCCCATGGCGGTAATCAGTAGATTCAGTACAACTAAGCACACTTCGAACCTGGACATATAAACATAAAAGAAATCTCTGATTGGCCGAAAAAAATTGCCAACTGTTTTGCTGACCTGGACCCACTTAAATATTTTGAAAATAGCAATTTCGAGAAATTAATTCACTGAATATCCAAGTTGGCATCACTTAATGTGAGTTGGAGGGTTACTTGGATTTGTATCAAATTTTATATAGGCTCCTATATAACAATTGTCATCAATTGTTTGAAATAAATAAAATTATTCAATTTTGGCTTGAATTCAATTATTTCGACTCCATTAATAAGAAATAAAGAAATACGTGTAGAAAAAAACAATCATTATTGCGTTTTAGCAATCAAATTAGTGTACTGAGTAGTGACGTGTTTCAAAGCTGCTAGATTAATTAACGTACGTACTTACTAATTTTTTTTGTTTTTATACAAAGTATATGCGCCCCAATCTCAAACGAGCTTTATCAGAATTTATAATTCAAAGTTGATAACCCATAACACATTTACATCTACGATATTGCAGTTAAACTTCTATAAATTAGTACAATTGTGTCTATTAAAATTCTATCAATTCAGCAGAGTATTGAATTATTGAATTATAATTTAGCACGCTGTCTCAACCTAGGGCAGAATATTTACTAGAGGTTGAAAATGGCCATTCCACATAATCATTGTAAATAATGTATTAAAAATTTATTGAATGGGAGGTAGATAATAATCAAAATATTATTTAATATTTATTGTAGAAACAAAAATAAATGTGGAAGAAGGTGGTCCTTTTGTGGGACCCACAGTTCAACAGTTATCAAGGGGGGTGTTGGAGTCTCCCGAGACGGTGCCATGTCAGCATTCTGAGTCTGACGTTAGATAACGGTATTCTTGAAACACGCGCCTTCTATTACTTGATAACAATGATTCGTGCCATGTCATCAACTTCTTAAGCGTGCGAGTTGGACCCACATGCCATATCATTCTAGATCTTTGATAAACCCAAAATAACTATACAAATATTAAATATACTCTCTATCAAATAAGAATGGGATATGATAAATGTCGTTCCAACTTTAATGATACTATTACGACTTCAAACGTGATTTTGATCATTTTTTATTCAAAATTTTGCAAAACCCGAAGAATTTGTAATATTCTGATTTAGTTTTCTGCTCCAACTTGAATCACCAAAATTGGATGTCGGACGAGAAAGATATACATGAATCAATGGATATTGTCCATAACTTTGATGTATTAAGATATCTAAAATTCAAAATGTGACTCATTCATGTATAACTTTGTTACACGACATCCAATCTTGTGGATATAAGTTGTATTAGAAAGCTAACCCAAAGGGCTACAGTTTTCGTGTTTTGAATTTTGCCAAAATCAAAATAGAAATATGTCAAAAACAGGTTCGAAGTCAAAACGACATTAGTAAAATTGAAACGACATGTTACATTTCAGAATAACAATATAGAATATTAATTTTGAAATCCACCACAATCATTTAGAAATTAACTTAAAAAAATACAAGTTAGGATATGAACTACATTACAAATGAATCGTTCTAACCAAGTTCAATGAATTTGTTATCAAAATTTCATTTTAAATCCTTTGAAAAACAATTAAAAATCCTTTGAAAAACAATTAAAAATCCTTTTATCCAAATGTAACTGTAGCGATTATATTATCAGATCTATAGATAACTAGTGTTTCACTCGTGTGTTGCATAAGAGTCAACTCCAAATTGAACAAACTGAATTCAAGCTTTTAAGAAAAAGAGAGTTTATCATTTAATTCAAAGATGTAATGCAAATTAGCTTTATAACATCAAAGCACGAAGTGCAGAACTTGATATTAAAAGTAAACGACATCATTTAAAGCAGTGGTGCGACTATTTCATGCAAAGCGAGCTATTACACCGTGTGAGTCTTGCGCAAAATAACTAAATTATGGCAATATTTTGAGCGAATCATAATATCCGAGCTACAAATTCGGAATTCCTAGCTTGTAAAGGTCTTAATTAAACACTTATATGACTGATTGCGACTTTCTTCGTTAAATAACAAAACTATATATTATCCTAATTTGTCATTTCAAGATTATATTACTTATATCTTTTAAATGCTATTCGAAAAAAATACCAACAAGAGCACTAAAATAGTTGTCAAGAAACAAAAACAAGGGAACAAGAACATATGATCACATAATTCAATCAATTTTAAATTATGGTTTTCCAATTAGAAAATGTAGGATTATGTTGGTAATAATACACTCAACCTTTGTTGTGATGCAAAACTATGTTTGAAGCCATTGAACAATCCTAATAAATGTTTTATGATCCTTAAATCTTGACAAGTGGGACAACTTTAAATTGCACTTGTACATTTTTGAGGGGGATGAATTTTCTTCTTGTGTTCAAAATTGGCTTGGGGGCCCTTGCCCCCCTCTTCTTGACCCTTCTTGCACCCCTAACAATTCAAATCAATCTTAATTACTACTTGTTAATTTTCTCTCTTTCCTGATTGACACGTGTCGAAACCTAATTAAGTACTAGATTAATCTTGATTAAGTACCGGATTAATTAAGATTAAGAGTTGATTAAAAAGGTTTTGGCTCCTAGCAGAAGAATTTCAAAAGAAAATGATAGATGGGGCAGTCTTTCACATGGTTGATGGCCTGATACAAATTAAATATTAATAATATATATAAAAAAATCTTTATTTTATTTTGGTGGCAATTAAGTAAAAATTAAAAACAAAAGAAGCATCTCTCTCTCTCTTTTAATTTTTAATATTAATTTTTTATTTTGTCAAAGCCAACTACCTCTAGAGAACATAATCAATATTATTAAAATTTGTTTTCCCTAAAACTTAGCATGTGGAAGGTTTTTGTTTTTATTTTATTTTATTATTTTTATTTTATTTTTTTATTTTTTTATTTTTTAATTTTAATTTGTACTTTTGGAGTAAAGAATTCGTGCGCCTAAAAAGCACACCACTATGACCAACTTTGCTGCTGTCTAACCGAACCTTTGCGGCCACATTATATTTTCATTGCATTATAATTATTAATTACCAAATAAATAATATTAAATCCTTTAATTATATAAATCTATCCCATCATTATAATAACAAATTATGAAATTATATAAGCTCAATTTGAATTTTCCGTTATTACATCTCGACCGAGGTTGATTTTTCAGATAATCAGACCAAATTCAAACACAACTTTACGAGCCAGTAAAAAACCGAAACAAACTTGAACTCGTAACTTAATCGACCTACTTAGTAATTAAGTACTCCATAAATTTAGAAACAATTAATTGTAAATAAAAGTTATCTCTATGCTGTAGCAATTTGTAATTTAATTCTTTAGATTATCCAATTAGATAATCTAATTGTAATTACAGATGATATTAATTAAAAGGGTAAATTACAAATACCCCTGAGGTATGATCAATTTACAAAAAAACCCCTCTTATTTGGATAATTACATCTACCTCCCTCAACTATGTTTTTTTCTTACACCTCCACTCTTACCACTCTTATGATATCAAATTCAACATATATAATCATCTAGGTTTCGTGGAATGTGCTATAGATTTTTCTCGTCTTGTGTAGAAATACAGTTTCTGATGCACCACATCTGATATATACAAGCCAAAAAACACATATTATGATCATCTTGCTTCAAAATATAGGATTCGAATGGGATAAAACGAGTACAAAAGTAATAATATTCCATATAATCTCAAAAATTCCACTGAGGAGTTGTAATTATCCAAACAATAGGAATTTTTTTATAATTTGACCATACCTCAGGAGTCGTTATAATTACCAAAAAAAAAAAAAATTAGCAACAAGTGGCATCCCAAAATCGTAATTATGTCTGAAAACAAAGGGCATACCCTTCATCACCAATACTATATATCACCTTCCTTCACCATCACTCACTCCTCCACACAAACAACTTAACTACTTTCTCTCTCTACAAAAGTACACCCAACAACGAACAACAACAACCCGCCGGAAAAATGTCGACGACGTGCAGCAAAATCCGCCACATTGTACGGATCCGCCAGATGCTGCGGCGGTGGCGCAAGAAGGCTGCGGCGGCGGCGCGTCAGGCCCCGTCCGACGTGCCGGCGGGGCACGTGGCGGTGGCGGTGGGATCGAGCCGGCGGCGGTTCGTGGTACGGGCGGCGCACCTGAACCACCCGGTGTTTAAGAAACTGTTGGTCCAGGCGGAGGAGGAGTACGGGTTTGCTAATACGGGCCCGTTGGCTATCCCCTGCGAGGAGTCTCTCTTTGAGGAGATTCTCCGGTACCTGACCCGACCCGAATCCGACCCGACCCGGTTCATGATGAGCTTTGAGGACTTTCAGAGATGCTCCCACGTCGGAATATTCCGGGGCAACCTCGAGTACTGGGCGGATTCTCGCCCGCTTCTGCATGGTGGTTCCGATAAACCCATTTGGTGATCGGAGCCCCGGCGCTCGGATATACTACTACTTCGATTTTTGACCCGGGTTGACTCGTTCGAGTTGCATTCAGAATGCTTGCTGGCGAACCCGGTTCAATTTCCAGAGGTGGGTTTTTTTTTTGGATTATTTGGGTAATTTTTGTACGTAAGATTAAATGATTTGGAATGGGGGTGGTGAGTTAAAATGACGGAGATGGCAAGTAGGTGGGCGAGTCGCCGCCGAGTCGTCCCGGGTTGGAATCGGAGTGGATCGGAAGTCTAAACAAATGATCATTAATTCATTATATTATTACATATATATGTATACACTAATTAATGATTTGACGATGAGGTCACCACTTGTAACTGAAATGGCAATATTTAATTATATTGATTCAATTTTTTTTATGGGAAATTGTAAATCGGTTCTCAACATTGCATATATTGAAGTTCGTTAATTTTTTATTCTAGAATATATACTATTATTTAAATTTATTTTTTTGAATAATGTATATAATACTATTATTTAAAATTTATTGTTTGGTTTCGAGATGGAAATAGCTGTTTGTTCGATTCCACCTGAGAAAATCACTATAAGTAGACAAGTCTTTCACAATTTTAATGAAAATCAAATTAATTTTGTCTAACTTTAATAAAATAATGAAACAAAAATAACATGTCGTATATGGATAATTTTTTTAAATAAAGACTTAGTTCCCACTAAAACTAATTATCATAAACTTATGTCACTTGAATCAGAATCGAAACCCCTAGTCAACGGTCGTTAAGTCGAGTTTGTCACACATAGTTAGCCTGTTGTATTATTTACCCAGTCCACATATATAGTTGACTGCGGATTCCTTCATTAAAAAAAAAAAAAAAAAAACAAATACAAATTGGAATTATTATGATTTATGACATAAATTCTTTGAGTTTTTAATTTTGATGCAATTTGGAAAAAGTAGTGATATACCTAAATGGGCTGGCCCAACGGGCCCTCAAATTTATCTACTAATTAGGCCCACTACATGATAGCCCAGTCATATACGAGTGGGCCCATTACACGAAAGCCCAAGCTTCTTCAAAGTAAGGCTTGGACCCAACAAAGGAAGCCCAATCCATTTAACAACATATAAATAAATGTTTTATTCATTGATTAAGGTACGTTCTCATTTTTATTGATAATCGACCACAAGTTTATTCTCTCTACTTTCCTCTACGATCCGTACATCTGACTTGAGCGTCGGAGGGGTTTCCGCCGGATCAACCCCCGGCTTAGTTCACGTGTGCTCATTTTGTAGGGACCTCAGGATCATCGAGTTGAATAGCTATTGATCAGCTTTGCTCTCCCTGCTTGTTTTCTACATCATCCTAGGTGAGCTATACTCTAGCATCATCATTTTGGCGCCGTCTGTGGGAACGATGCAAACCAGATCACGTAGCCAACAAGATCCTCCTGAGGCATCAGCTCGGAGAGAAAACGACACAGCTAATAACCTCCCCGCCCGTGGAGGATCTGGCATCCCACCTCCTCCACGCGCCGCGGAGCAACTTCCTCCACGTGCCGCGGAGCCAGCTCCCCCACGTACTGCAGATCCACCTCGCGAGGTTCAGGTGATCCCCCCTCGGGACCCACCACTCGCCGATCCACCACTCCCTGCTCCTCGAACGGTTCAGATAACCGAGGACGCACTCCAACGTATGATAGCGGAAGCTTCTACTCGCGCCGCCACGGAGGCCGTAACTCAATATATCGCCACGATGGGAGCAAACGCTCCCAATGCGATACCAGCACAAGCTCCACCTATAGCACCACCAGTGGCCCCACCGCCGATCCAGAATCAAATAAGCGTCTTTTCCTCTACGTCGGACCCACGGTCCCGAGTGCAGCTATCTACTAATCACAGAGGAGCACAGCCTAGACAACAACGTCGGCGCTCACCCCTACGGGGGAATGCATCGCCACCAAGAATCCCTCTCTTTAATGAGGGAGAAGGCGAGGTAAACAGCCGAGTGTCTCGCCAAAACCTTTTCTCCCAACCAAATAATCAAATGGGTGAGAGGATGCCTCTCCCAGCAAGACGCAGTCCCTTCACCATAGAGATCCTCAACGAGGTATTACCTCAAGGAGTAAAGATCTCGGGGTTACCTCAATTTGAAGGGACCACCGACCCACAGGAACATATTGAGAAATTCAGTGCCATGGCGGATTTATACGGCCCGACGGATGCGGCGATGTGCAAGATGTTCCGCACCACTCTCTCCAAGAGGGCAATGAATTGGTTCAACTCCCTACCCATAGGGTCCATTGACACCTTCGCTCGGTTGTCGACCCGATTCACCAACCAATTCGCCATCAACAAACAATACGCCAAGACCCCAGCTCATCTTTTCTCTGTAGTGCAGAGAGACAACGAAACACTCCGCAACTACATCAAACGTTTCGTAGAAGCCGTCCATGAAGTCCCCAGTGTGGGGCAAGACATGCTCTCAGGGATTATGCAACAGAACTTGAAACCGGGTAGATTCAAGGAATCTATTGCCGGAAGACCACCAGGCAACCTAGAGGAGTTGTTAAACCGAGCCGAAAAGTACGTCAGGATAGAGGAAGCTTCCACCCACGCTCCCCCTAAAAGGAAAAGGGAAGATGACCGTCAGGACAATAGGAGGCGTGATGACCGACGTCCACCACTTCCACCTCCAAGCCAACCCTCCTCTTCCTACAATAGGTTCACTCCGTTAAACGCTCGCCTCACTGAAATCCTTCACGTGATAGAACAGAGAGGTTTAGCGGAGCCTCCACGTCCTATGCAGCCTAATGCAAAGCGAGAAAAATCGGATCGCTATTGTCGATTCCATAAAGACAAAGGGCATACTACGGAGGAATGTGCACAACTTAAAATGGCGATTGAGAGGCTGATCAAACAAGGCCATTTAGGCGAATACGTCGATAAGCCGCGAAATAAACGCCGTGATGATCCTCCACGCCGAGATAGCAATCGAGATCAACAACAAAGACGAGAAGATGGGGGTCACCGACGTGACATAGATAACAATGATAACCAGCCTACCCGGGGAATCATCTCCTTCATCTCCGGAGGACCAGCGGGAGGCGATTCACAGAATGCAAGACGCACACTCGCTCGATCAGCGCGCATGAATCAAGAACGCGCTTCTCCATCCGAACGCATATATCAAATACGAAGACCTGATCACAGCATAGTCTTCAACTCCTCCGACCTCGAAGGTCCAGATGAAGACCATGTCGATGCATTGGTCGTAACAACAACGGTGGCCAACTTCTTGGTCAAGAAGATATTAGTGGACGGTGGAAGTTCGGCTGACATCATGTACCTTCACGCTTTTAAGCAGCTGGGTATAGATAATGCCCGATTTAGTCCCGTCTCCACACCCCTGAAAGGATTCACAGGAGAAGGCATCTTATCCATGGGAGAAGTGGAGCTGCCTGTCTCTTTAGGGGAAGACCCCTGTCGAATCACGAAACTAATCAAGTTCCTCGTCGTCGACAGGCCATCACCCTACAACATCATTCTAGGGAGGCCAGCCATCCACACATTCAAGTCAGTACCTTCCTCCTACCATCAGAAGTGGAAGTTCCCTACTCCCTATGGAATGGGAGAAGTGCTTGGAGATAGACGTCTCGCTCGAGAATGCTATGCAAGGGCCCTACGAGAACCCTCAAAGAAGCCTAAACCGCCCGGAAAGGGAGACGATACCCAAAAATCCGACAAACGGAAGTGGGTCAATGCAATCATTGAGGACAATAAAGAAATCCTCATCAGTGTACCAGACGATAGCATCAAGCTAGCGGCTGTCGAAGAGCTTAAGTTCATAGAGCTCACACCTGGAGATGATTCCAAACTCATGCGCATCGGATCTGATTTAGATCCTGAGACGGAGCAGCAGCTAATCAACTTCCTGCGACACAATGGAGATGTGTTCGCATGGAAAGCCCAAGATTTGTCGGGCATTCCCCCTCAGGTAGCCCTACATCGGCTTAACGTCGACAAGAGGATGAAGCCAGTCAAACAGAGGAAACGAACGTTTGGACCCGAACGCAACAAGCATATCAAGGCAGAAGTGGCTAAACTTCTAGACGCGGGTCATATACGACCAGTTCAGTATCCTGAATGGTTGTCGAACGTGGTACTCGTTCCCAAACCTGGGGGAAAGTGGAGGTTATGCGTGGATTTCACTGACCTCAACAAAGCTTGTCCCAAGGACCCATTTCCTCTACCCAGAATCGATCAACTCATCGATTCGACCTCGGGGTGTGAGCTCCTCAGCTTCCTCGATGCATACCAAGGATATAACCAGATCTTACTCGCGCCAGAGGATCAAGAGAGGGCTAGTTTCATCACTGACCAAGGCATCTACTGCTATCAAGTCATGCCCTTTGGATTAAAAAACGCAGGAGCCACATACCAACGTATAGTGAACACAATGTTCGCAGATCAGATCGGTAAAAATATGGAGGTGTACATCGACGACATGCTCGTCAAAAGTGTCAAAACCTCAGATCACTTAACCGATCTGGATCAGTGCTTCGCTACCTTGCGAAAATACAAAATGAAACTCAACCCCCTCAAATGCTCGTTCGGAGTTCGAGGTGGTAAATTTTTGGGATACATGATTTCACAGCGAGGAATCGAAGCTAATCCCGCAAAAATCGAAGCAATTACCTCCATGCCTCCACCAACATCCATCAAAAAAGTCCAACAGCTTAACGGTTGTTTGGCATCTTTGAATAGATTCATTTCTCGATCAGCGGACAAGGCCCTACCCTTCTTCAAAATCTTAAGGGGAGGAAAGAAATTTGAGTGGGATGGGGCATGTCAAAAGGCATTCACAGAGCTAAAGTCATACCTAGCATCCCCACCCCTACTCACAAAACCTCACCCAGGAGACACCCTCCTACTGTACTTAGCTACCTCAGCTAATGCCATCAGCGCAGTCCTCATCCGAGATGGAGGAAAAGGCCACCAACCCATATACTACATAAGTCGCGCCCTCCAAGGAGCCGAACAACGCTACACCAACATGGAGAAACTCGCTCTCGCCCTCATCAACGCAGCTCGGAAGCTTCGACCTTACTTCCAGTCGCATCAAGTGGTGGTTCTCACCAATTATCCTCTGAAGCAAATACTAAGAAGTCCTGAGACATCCGGGCGATTAGCAAAATGGGCGATAGAGCTAAGCGAATACGGGGTCGAATTCAAACCCCGCCCGGCTATCAAAGCGCAAGTATTGGCAGATTTTCTAGTTGAAATGACCTCCGTAGAAGAAAGTACCTCTCTTCCAACTTGGTCCGTCAGCGTCGATGGATCGTCCACTGCCACAGGAGGGGGAGCGGGTATCGTCCTAACGAACCCTGATGGAGATGAGTTCGAATATGCTCAACGATT